GACATCCACACACAGACAAACAGACATCCACAAACAGACATCCACACACAGACATACATATTAATAATATTATTAACAAATTAACATATCCCACCCACCCAGCATCCCTACCTTTCCCTGGGGTCCAGTGGGGCTGCAGTGAGGACGGCTCTCTCCCTGTCACACGCGGAGAGGGAGCTGTGTGCTCTCTGCTCCCTCTCGCCGCGCGGGATGTCTGCTGATGCTGGGAGCCGGGTTGATGACGTCATATTCCGGCTCCCAGTATCAGCAGACATCCCGCGCGGCGAGAGGGAGCAGAGAGCACACAGCTTCCTCTCCGCGTGTGACAGGGAGAGAGCCGTTCGCCGGGGGGCAATCCATCAGGTGGCCCCCCCATGACAGGGGGGGCATTTGGGGGCGGCATTTTTTGCCGCCCCCTGAGTGCCTGCAGGGTGAACGGCGTTCCTGCTGTGAAAAAAGTGCAGGAACGCCGTTCCCACGCGTTCCTGCAGGACTCGAGCCCTGGTGCTGGGTAACTTCTGCAGTGAACTGAGTACCCCGATCCGAGATGATCTCCCTGGGAAAATCCGCATCAGGGCCTCAGCCACTGTTTTGGCGTGTATATTAGTGCCACCGCCTCTGGATATCTGCTAGCGTAGTCCACCACTGTCAAGATATAATTCTTGCCAAAGGGGCTAGCCTTCTTTAAGGGACCTACTATGTCTACCGCTACTCTACTGAATGGTTCTTCCATTATGGGTAGAGGGTGTAACTTTTTTCTTTCCGGGGGTCTCCCCTCTTCCCTACTCTCTGGCACGTGTCACAATTATTGCAGTACCTCCTAACCTCCTGACTGATTCCTGGCCAAAAGAAGCTCTGGGTCAGTAGGTACCAGGTGCGACTGACCCCCAAATGTCCGGATAGCGGAATATCATGCGCTATCCAGAGCAATTCGGATCGGTACTGCTGTGGTACCACTAGCTGTCTAATGATAATCGGGTCTGACCCTTCTACCCTTTTCTCAGATTCTCGGTATAGCAACCTTTTGTCCCAGACAAATCTCTGTCCCTCCACCCCGGGTGGGTCAGAGGTGACCCTATCCCTATACACTTGTAAGGATACACCTCTGCCTCAAATTCGCTAGGGGGGGCCCAAGGGACGCACTCTAAGGAAGGAGAAGGATCTCTTACTTGAACCTCCAGGTGTGAGTTGTGGTCCTGGGTGCGGGCCTGTTGACATGTGACCATGGGAGGTGCTTCTCCAGTGGCAGGGATCTGGGGCTCAAAAGCAGATGTGAGATTCCCCAGGTTGTTTCCCAACAAAACTTCTGCCGGTAACTGTGGCATCAACCCCACCTCCACATTTCCAGACCCCGCTCCCCAATTCAAATGTACCCTTGCTGTGGTTAGCCGATATACTGCTCCCCTGGCTACCCTGACGGCCACTGTCCGGTTGGTCTTGACTCCTTCGCGGACGAGATGGCTCTTTACCAGCATGAAGATTGCTCCCGAATCGCGTAGTCCTTGCACCGCCTTCCCCTCTAGGTGTACGACCTGTCGATGCTGTTGGCGGTTATCGGCATCTGCTTGGAGTGGATCCGCCTCATGTAGTACCTCCCATTGTTTGACTACTGGGTTGGGTATAGTTGCAGCATATGGTGTTGGTATTTCAATTTGATAATAATGCACTGCCGCTCGTGGTGGTGGTGGACCGGGTCGCATCCATGTGGTTCTGTCTTGCAGTTAAGGGCAGTCTCTTTTGTAGTGGCCCCATTTTTGGCACTGGTGACACTGTACAGCGCTGGGCTGGCAGAACTGCTGCTGTGAGGTGGCTGGTGAGGGTGGTGGAAGCTGCCGAGGAGGTGCTACTGAGCTGGTGGGGTAGGTAGTCCCCACTGTGGATCTTACTGCAGTCCTGGCTGGCACAGTTTTCTGTTGCCTGCGGGCATCCATATAGTCATCGGCTTTCCTGGCTGCTTCGGTGAGGGATGTGGGGTTGCGGTCTCTTACCCACTCCTGAACATCTGTTGGGACCCTGTCATAAAATTCCTCCAACAATAATATTTGTAATAGGTCCTCCATGGACCGTGCTTAGTTAGCTTGTACCCACCCTAAGGCTGCCCAGTGCAGTCGACAAGCCCATTCAGCGTGCAAGTCCTTTTCCGCCGCCTTCAGCTCCCTGAACCGCATTCGGTACGCCTCTGGTGTGATGGCATAGCGGGCCAAGATGACTTCTTTTACCCGACTGTAGTTGCGAATTTCTTCATCGGGTACGGTGCGGTACGCCTCCGCTGCTCTCCTGGTTAGCCAACTTGCTAGGATGGGGACCCAATCTTCTGCACTGATTTTATGTAGGGCACACAGTCTTTCAAAGTCCTGGAGGAATGCATCTATGTCTTCCTCTGCCTCTACATAGGTTTTGAAAGCCTGGTAGGGTATCTTAGGCTTACCCTCCTGGATCGTAGTCATTGCTGGGTTTCTTTCTGGAATTTGCTGGTTTCTTTGTTATAGCACAAACTCCTGAACTTCGGTCATTGCTCTGGAGATTATGTCTGCTGGTGGATTTTCCCCATAAAATGACAGCCTAAATTGTTGCTGTCTTTGGAACTCTGATTGTTCCTGTTCATCTGCAGAACCGCTCCGTTTGGGAACCGAATCGCCCTCCGTTCAGTATTCCGCCATCATTTCTGAGACAAGCACTGCCTTTTTCTTGTTGCTGGCCGGAATACCCCTTGCTTAACGTGGACCGCTTGAGAATAGAGTAGTCAATCTCCATCCACAATCCATTTGTATTGCTGCTTTCTTTGGTACTTGTTCCTTTCTGGATTCTGGATCCCGCCGCTGCCAACAATGTAGCAGAGCACTAGTTTCCCATAGGCTTTCTCCGCTGATAATCCAATAGCATTTCAGGAACAAGGGGTTAACACAGGAAAAACAGCAGCAGTAGTAAATAAAATAATCCTGGAATATCCCATCACCTTTCCTGGAATAACTGGACGACACACAGTATCAGGAGTAGAACTCATCTTTAATCCCACATACCCTGCTTTTATGCATCTCTCCCATGCAAGGGAGACACCCACAAAAAATTATACAGTAACCAATCATATACAGGTTACAACCCAATCATCTCCCCTCAGCCTGACAGATAATCCAATTATTCAGCACACACTTTTCCCCATTTTCTGGATGTACCCCAAATACATAAAATATACCCCTAAATCCTACATCCCATGATAGCTCTAATCTGGATGAGCAACATACTCAAAAATCACCCAGATCGAATCAAGGGTTCGGAAATTACATGGATGTGTTCGTTTGACCGACCGCACACGAGGCAGTAGCCGAAAACCGTTCCATGCATTTTGGCCTTGCGGTTGGTCTCTGTTCGTGGAGTAAAAAACACAAAATTACTGAACAGAATGGGCTGTGCTTCCCCTTGTTCGTGTGATTCCTTTTACCGAACATCGGGCCGTTCGTGTGTTTCCTCGCACAGAGATGGAAGTCTGGAGGTCTCAGCGATGTTTGCGTGGTCGAGTGTCCGATTTGGGTTCCAGACACCCGACGACCAAACACCGGTGGGCGTTCGTATGGCAAGATGGCCACCGCCACGTGTTCGTATGCTGAATGGCGGCCACCCAGGGAATACACAGTGCGTTTGTATATTTTTCAATTAGATGGCAATAAAGACGGCTGGGGAGGTAAATTGATACCACACTTCTCTCAGGGGTGGTCTGGTTGTTCGGTAGTTTGTTCGTATGTCAAATGGGGTGATTCACTTTAGTCTCCATAGCTTTCTACCGAACAACCAGACAAATGCTGAGTCACAATTTGCTTGCACACTTGGATATTTATATAAAGACTATCGCTTTAAGGGTTGCCTGTGCTGTGTTGAGGATACGTATGTTCCTGTGTGTATAGCCGAAAGCAGATAGCTGATTTCCTTTCGTTTCACGAACAGTGCCTTTGCGGGCTGTTCGTGAACCGAATAAAACCCACATGTATAGCCCACACATTGAGAGACGTGTGGTGCTCGTTAACCGATTGCAACAATGTTGCAATCGGTAATTAGAGGCTCTCCTAGGTGGCCGTCGTTCGACTACCGAACATGCGGGAGTCGGCCATCTTGGAACCTTTGTTCATCCAGCGGTGTTTGGTCGTCGAGCGTGTGGTACTAAAGACGGCTACTCAACGGCGTGAACACCGCTGGACTTCCAGGCCGTTCGGGAGTTCCAGGCCTTTCTGTATTTTATTCCACAGATATCAATCGATCTTTTAAATGCATGTTTTGGTGAATATGTTTTTCGTGCGGCGTTCGGTTGTTTTAGCTGGGATCTGAGCGGTAATCTCACGAAGGATATGCTCAGACCCTGAACGTCCATTCGTGCAAATAGACTGCATATTCGAAAAGTTGTGTATTTTAATATAAATTGCCGGTTCTTCTGCACGGAGGGATAATCCACTTAACGGTACATTCCAGTGGGAGGATCCCTCTCATGCAGCAGTGCCTGATGGGAGAAATGCTCTGTACTTTAAGTTCCCCATGTAGTCCACTCCTGGAAACCCCTTACATGGGGAATTGTATAAATTGTGGAGCCTGTGAATAAAGTTCAGTTGACTCCCAGAACTGTGTTTCATCCAGTTACTGGGGGGATTTGGGATATTGCCTTCCTTTTCAGCGCTGATTGTGGATTACTGAAGATACCAGCGGAATTCGTGTGTTTTAATACTGCCGATCCGCTACACACACAATAAAAAAAAAAAGAAAATACTGTTGACAAATGAAAATATGATGGACAGCCAGATGGTATCCGCTACTCCGGTAATATGTCTATCTGGGGTTGCCTCTCTTGTCCTTTAGTTTGCATGTTGGGGAGTGTGGGGCGGAACCAACCTCGCCACTATGCACTGGAGAAGCCTGGTTGCTCGCCTGCTCCCTTTAGACTATGGCCCTGCAGTTCAGCCCTGTTATTTCCCCTACTGAAAGGTTTATTTGTGCCTTTCTGCCGGGGTGTTCGGTAGATTCAATCTACCGAACAAACTACCGAGCAATGGACCACCTGGGAACTGGAGTGTGCCGTCAATTGACCGCCCAGAAGCTGTGGTTAACCGCAGCTTAATCGATGAACGCTGGGTGGCCTTTGTTCGTCTTCCGAACGCGTGGCAGCGGCCATTTTACCTCCCGAACAGCCAGCGGTGTTCAGTGCCCAAACTATGGAACTGAAAACGGACACTTATTGGCCCTAACACCGCTGAGCCGCCAGCCTCCTTACCTTCCCATTCGGTAGCGGAACCGAATGACTGTTCATTCGGTAGTTTAACCAGATGAATAGCATCACCCAGATAGCTAAGCCATGGAGCCTATTCATGTGACGAAAGACTATGTGAAAGACTTTGGCTCCATGGCGATTGAACGGTATGTATGTGATCTGAGCGCCATTCGGTAGTAATGTGCGCTCAGATCTAAGCTATCTGGGGATAGGTAGGATGTATATGTTTTATGTAATTGTGAAGAATCCCCCTCCATTCATTCGGTACTTTCCCTCCCTGCTACTTTATTCATGGATTTATTACTGTGATGAAGTGCCCTTCGCCACTTGTGCCTGGAGAGGACTGCTTGCCCGCCTCTTGCCCTGTGACTATGGACCCTGGGAGATTTGGCCCGTTCAATTCAGTATGATAGGAGTTATGTATTTTTGTATCCTTTTGTGTTTTACTGGGAACATGTGCTCAATGGAGTCTGCCTCTATCCCTGGATAATTGGATTATTTTCCCCATTGTCTCCAGGATAGAGGGCTCTGTAAAACCGGTTTGGGCCAGATAGCCATGCTGCCAGCCAGGCCCCAAAAGATACTTTACTAACTTCTGAACCCCTGGTCTGATTCATGCCATTTTTTGATATGTTGTTTCCCTGAATGGATTGATTGTGAATATATATTTTATGTGAATGTGATGTATATTTTAGAAGTTATGAATATGCTGTAAAAACTGTATTTTTCCTACCTGTGATAATTGCATCTTCTATTGTATAAGATAATTGAATCACAGGCAGAGGGGAGGATTTTGTGTGGGCTGTAACCTCTGTTTTATTGGCAACTGTAGATAACGTGTGTGTCCCTGCATGGGAGCAGGGCATAAAAGAAACTGTAGCTTGAATACCTGTTGTTGTTACTTCCAGTAAAGTCTTGTTCCAGCATTAAGCTTTGGCTCATGTGTGAATTATTCAGCGATTCCAGGGATATTTCTACTTGTGGAATATTGGGTGACTTTCTTTTATGGGAAGAAGGGAATGCTTGACGGTGATACCTTATACTACCGTCACAACTGGTTGGCAGCGGCGGGATTTTCCCTTCTACTTTCCTCTACACCAGGATTCCAAGCAGACACTGGGAACAGTGAATGGAAGGCTGGTACACCCTGCTTAAAAGAAATACACTGAAAGAACTACTAGAAGATCGTGGAAGGATTGCTAGCAACATAACCAAGCGGGTCATTATAGCAGAGTTAATGGAGCTAGACCGAGAGAGCTTGGTTGCAGCAATGCCAGCTGTGCAGGAGATGGAGACACCAGTGACTCAGGAGGAGGAATCACCAGCCAACAAAGAGATGCGTGATAAACTAGCATGGTTCGGTCCGAACTCAACGGCTGACATTATTCTGAAAGTAATGAACCTTGTAGCGGAGGAGGCTAAACAAAAAAGAGACGCAGATCTACAATTAAAACTGGCAGCGGTCCAGCAGGCAGCAGCACACTCCCCAAACAGTGAGTACAGCACAGTGGATACAAGGAAAATTCCGTTCAGCGCTTTTAAAGCTTTTGATGAAAAAGACTGTGAGATTGATAACTATTTAGCAGATTTTGAGCGACAATGTAACCTGCACCGAGTAGCTAAGGAAGAATGGGTTTCGATATTGGCAGGAAAGCTGTTAAGCATGTATGTGCGTAGTGGGCATTGGATAGCATTCCCTTCATCCCCCATAAAAACCATCACTTACCCCTTCAAATAACGACAGACAACTTCTTGGAGAAAAACAGGCCACAGCATTTATTAACACAACCAAATACTGTAAATTAACATAAACAATTTGCATATAGTCATACAGTAACCAAAGAAACCGTCCTTGCCAATCTAACTTCCCCAAGGCTCTCACCTCCCCACCTCGGCATAATAAAAACATCTTCCTTTTCATGGCTCCCCACCTTTTTCCCCTTTTTCATCTAATCTACCAAACCATCCCTTATTTGGCAAGGACACACCCCGCCACAACCCCGCTGTTTTAAGCCTAAAATCAGCGGGGGACCCCAAACAATCCAACCATGGCCTGTTCCACCATCTCTAGAATGGCCAAATTAGAACGGTCGAGCCCGACCTCAGTCAAATGAACCCTATCCGGCCACAACAAATCTACCGCCTCCTTCTCAAAACCTGATGAAATGGGCATCCCCCAAACCCCTATAAGGAAACGCAAAACCCAATGGTTGAACCCTTCGCGGCAGCACTCCAGCGCACTTCAGATGGGTGCCTGCCACAACCTCCGACCACACCATGCAAAAACCCCCCGGAAATTACATAAGGATCTGGGACAAGTCCCGCTTCCCTATGTCCACCAAGTCTCCGAGCGGCACCGTCCCCAGGTCAGTACCCCCCCAGGGGGAATGACCAGAACCAATGACACCCCCCCGCAAGCGAGAGAACCTGACCACTTCCAGGAGGAGCCAGACCCACTTCACGTCCCCCCGGCGAATGCTCAATCATCCGCCCCGAGAAGGAAAAAAACAATCAACAAAGCAAACCAGCGTCCTGCACACCGGAACAAATCTGCTAGAGTCCCACCTTCTTATCCTCCGCAAATTCCGAGTCAGCATACCCATCCAAGAGGCCTCCATCGCATTGCCAATGCGGAAAGAATGACGCCAAACAAATTGAAAATGGGAGAGGAAGTTCCCCTCCTCGTGTACCACGATCGAACCAGCCAGGTACGGCCATACTGCGGACTCCCTGAGCGCCAAGACCAGACAGGCGTCCAATCCTGGGACCGCCGCCAACGGGACCCACCTGCCCTTGCAGAGGATGTTGGTCTTGTATGGACGAGTCTTGACGGACACCGGGTCCTGACCATCCCGGACATCCGCAAACAGAATCCTCCCCTACCGGCTGACCAGTTCGGACCCACCAATACCCCAATCATCATGGCCCCAAAGAAATGAAGAAAACAGCGAGGCATACCTCTGGGAGCACCTGGCACAATTGTGCCCATAGGGCCCCCAAAAACTACCACAACGGGAAAGCTCCACAGAAATCGACCCCTGCACGGGCCCTACACCGCATGCCATTCCAGAAACTCCGTGGTGACCACCACCCAACCCTGGGACTTAACCAGAAAACTAAACTGGACATGCGCAAGGACACCCCGGAGGGCGACATATCCGCCGAGACCCAATGCTCCAGCAGTCACAACAGACCTTGAAATGAGCGAACCCGCAAATACACCCACCTCTGACTCCTGCGCCTGCCATTCCACCCATACCCTGGAGTACCTTGGCCCGAGAGGAACCGGACCTATACGACACATGAAGACATGGGCACCGAGAAGACACAGGGGAACCGAGAGCTGGCTAATCGCCTGGACAACCCCGAGGTGGCACGGTGAATAACAACCGACTGTCCTGTAGCTCCTGACCCCATAAATCCAAACTACCACAACGGGAAAGCTCCAGGAAGGCAAGATTCCGGTCAAGCCGCCGACCATGTCAGCACACTAGCGCGATCCCAGAATCGCCCCAACCAGACAGACAGAGCCAGCCGCGTCCGTATAGAGGGGCAAGTCAGAACTGGACACCTCCGGCGCCTGCCAAGATGTCTGTAGCGGAACGCCAATAATAAATCCACGAATTCCGCTGGTTCAGGAAGTAATCCACAGTCAAGCGCTGGAAACAACAAGGCAATATCCCAAATCTCCCAGTAACCGGACAAAACACAGTTCTGAGAGTCAACTGAGGTCTTTTATTTCAGCTCCACAATTTATACAAGTCCCCATGCAAGGGGTTTCCTCAGTCCCTTCCCAGGGGCATTCCCAGAGGGGACTACATGGGGGACTTATTGTACAAGCTATTTCTCCCATCAGGCACTGCTGCACGAGAGGGATCCTCCCACAGGAATGTACCGTTAAGTGTATTATCCCTCCGTGCAGCAGAACCGACAATTTATATTAAAATACATAACTTTTCGAATATGCAGTCTATTTGCACGAATGGATGTTCGGTAGATAGCTGGGGTCTGAGCGCATCATTCGTGAGATTACCGCTCAGATCCCAGCTAAAACAACTGAACGCCGCACGAAAAACACATTTGTTGAAAAGCATATTAAAATGACCGATTGCCTTCCAGGGAATGAAATACCGAACAGCCCGGAACTCCTGAATGGCCTGGAGGCTCAGCCATGTTCGCGCCATCGAGTAGCCGTTTTAAATACCATGCGCTCGACGACCCAACACCGCTGAGGGAACAAAGGATCCAAGGTGGCCGACCGCCGCATGGTCGGTAGTCGAACGGCAGCCACCTAGGAGAGCCTCTAATTACCGATTGCAACATTGTTGCAATCGGTTAACAAGCGCCACACGCTTCTAAGTGTGTGGGCTACTATATGGAGTGTTTTCGGTTCACTAACGGCCTGCCAAAGTGCCGTTTGTGAAACGAAAGGAAAACCCAATACAAATAGCTATCTGATTTCGGCGGATAGCAAATACAGGTAATTCAAGGTATTACAGCCAGCATACAATATACATAGTTGAACACATATCCCCACCGACATACAGGCAACCCTTAAAGGTACAGTCTCTTGATATAGTCCAAGTGGCTAGGTTTGCCACAATGTCCTTCCAATATACTCAGTCAGGAAGGAAACCCAGACCTCCAGAGCCGGATAAAATGCCGCAGTCCCGGTAGTAGCGACCACCTGGCGCCTGCGGGACAATTGCCCCATGGGCCCTAACAGGGACTGCAACTTGCACAGCAGCATCCTCCTCAGACCCCTGGCCTTCGCCACACCCTCTTAACCTTATCCCACACTCATACATGTGCCCCTGTCCGCTAAGCTGCGCACTCTCCCTGGGGCCTAAGCCTCTGATGCTTTCCGGGCCGTACCAGAACAGGAGATCCATAGACTCACGCAAAACCGCTAAAGACTCTTACGTGGAATGGGCATGCCAGTTATCCCTGTCGGCCTCTAACTGGGTTAACAGTAGCCAGTCCACCACCGCGGAGGATATTTTGCAACTGATACTCCTGGAACAGTTTTACAACCATATCCAGGCGGATGTCAAAGACTGGGTGAGAGATCGCAGGCCCCTGTCTCTAAAAGAGGCCGCCAAGTTGGCGGATGAGTATGCGGATACTCGCAAGACTAACCAGGTCGCACCACGGGTGCAGCCTCCACGACCAACGGTGCTATCACACCCACCAGCAGCCAGATACCAACCTCCTAACCGAACGGTGACTTCTAACTCTCGCTATCCATGACGGGATGACAGCGAGCTACGTTGCTTCCGGTGCAAACAGCCGGGTCACATCCGACAGAATTGCCCCATGGACAACAACACCAGGTCAAATTGGTCTCGACCTGGGTACCACCAACCACCAGCAGCAGCCCATTGTGTAGACTCGACTTGGGATCCCAAGGAGCTGAGTCAGGAAGATCCATTGGGCACCCTTTATGAAGCCCTCATGGTACAATCCACCATCACAGACAATCGGAAGCGCCATTGTCAACTGGTCATGGTTAACGGCAAGACAGCACGGGGATTAAGAGACAGTGGTGCGACCATCACGCTAGTGCAACGACATCTCAATGCATCGGAGAAGCCGAGGAAATCATTTGCTGTGAGAGTGGCAGGGGGGGCAGTGTATCGCATTCCTACCGCACAAGTACACGTGGGCATAATGAAAGACTTACCCTCTGAAGTCGTGTTGGGCAATGACATTGGCCCCCTGACTTTGGCGTTCGCCTCCACCACCGCTCAGGAGGCCCACGCAGTAACCACCAGAGCACAAAGTCACGCTGCCGAGAGCCATCCGCTTCCTACTGAGACCCAGGTTAGCCAACCCGACCTACCCCTGACTATAGAACCCCTACCCCCTCACCCCAGAAGACTTTGGGCGGGAGGTGACCGGAGACCCTTCCCTCAGAAAGTATCGAGAGAAAGCCAGGAGGGGAAAGGGGGGGTTAGAGAAGGAGCAGTTTATCTGGGAAAAAGGCCGCTTGTACAGGCTCACTGAGACACGGGTTAACGCACCTGGGCATAGGCAAAAATGCCAGCTGGTAGTTCCACAGAAATACTGGCGGGAGTTATTAAGAATTGGGCACGACGTACCTCTGGCAGGACACTTGGGAATATGCAGGACGGGATATCGGGTAACCCAGAACTTTTTCTGGCCTGGGGTATCCGACGACGTCCGGGCGTATTGCCAGACGTGCGAGATATGTCAACGCATAGGTAAAAAGGGAGACTTTTTTTCTTATTTTTGTATTTTTTTATTTTTTTTGTGTGTGTAGTTAGATCGTAGAAAATTATTATTATTATTATAATTTTTTTTTTTTTTAAATAAACCCTGAACCCGCCTAGCGCAGGTGTCCCAGCCAGCGCAGGAAAACATTACTCACCTGACGGCACCCCAGGAACTGCTGGTGGCACCATAGAAGAGACAGCAGCTTGAAAACAGGAGTCCATCACCTGCAGCACAGTTCCCATGGCAACTGGAGCTTCAGACGCCACCTGCTGGACGGATCCGGCAACTGCACCCAAAGCCTGAAGCAGCAGTGGACAGGAGGCTGCCGAGACAGGTAAGGAGAGGGGGGGGGGGGGGAGGGAGGGGGCAAAGAAGGTCAGCAAGGAGGAGGGGGGACATAGAGAAAGAGTGGGGAACAAAAAAAAAGGGGGGAGGACAATAAAGAAAGAGGGGGGAGGACAAATAGCAGAGGGAGACACCACACAGAAAAGGGGGGGGACAATAATGAAAAAGGGGGACACAACAATAGAGGGGGGTGGGGGGAGGGGAGCCCACACCGCCCGCGGACCCTGCCCAGGCAAAAAAGGGAAGGCAGGGCTGGGACAAACAGACCCCCCAGGAGCCCCTGAGGGGGTTCCAGGACCCCTCCCCACCCGGCGGCAGAGAGCCACCCCGCGTGCCCTGCAGGGGGCCCACTTACGTCTGCTGGTCGAGAGGGGAGAACCCCGGGCGGCATCCCACATGCCGCCCGGGTCGATTGCCGTGCTTCTGCCCCCCCACTACCTCCAGGGGGGGCACGGTTCACTTCAGATGCCGCCGCCCGGACACCATGGGCAGCAAAGGACCGGGCGCCGAGCAGGCCGCGCACCACGTGGTCCAGGTGCGCGGCCCAGTTGAAGCCTCGGGCCCGGGCTGCAGCTCCTGTACCGGGCCCGAGGAGGAGAGCTGGGGCTCACAGAGCCCGAGGGAGGGGGACACAGGGAGAGCCCAGGGGGAGCCAAAACGCTGGGAAGGGGAACCTCACCGCCAGGCCGCTGGGGATGGAGGAGGCCACCGTCTGCAGCACCATTACCAGCCCTGAGGATGGCTGTAAAACCAGGATCCAGCATCCAGGGCCCCCAGGCAGAAAATCCAGCAATCCCAGCAACAGGAGGAGGCAGAGAAACTTGTTGCTGGCCCGGCTCCTAAGTGGCACTGAGGTCAGTGTGATCTGTCACCACCCACTTCCTCACATCTCCCACATGTAGCATGTAGCCAATCATGCATCATCCATCCCACACTCATACATCTGCCCCTGTCCGCTAAGCTGCGCACTCTCCCTGGGGCCTAAGCCTCTGATGCTTTCCGGGCCGTACCAGAATAGCTACGCCAGGGTTAAAGAAGCGCTCCTGGCTCGTTATGCAGTAACCCCAGAGTCCTACCGACAGAAGTTCAGGGACTCACGCAAAACCACTAAAGACTCTTACGTGGAATGGGCATGCCAGTTATCCCTGTCGGCCTCTAACTGGGTTAACAGTAGCCAGTCCACCACCGCGGAGGATATTTTGCAACTGATACTCCTGGAACAGTTTTACAACCATATCCAGGCGGATGTCAAAGACTGGGTGAGAGATCGCAGGCCCCTGTCTCTACCAGAGGCCGCCAAGTTGGCGGATGAGTATGCGGATACTCGCAAGACTAACCAGGTCACACCACGGGTGCAGCCTCCACGACCAACGGTGCTATCATATCCACCAGAAGCCAGATACCAACCTCCTAACCGACCGGTGACTTCTAACTCTCGCTATCCTCGACGGGATGACAGCGAGCTACGTTGCTTCCGGTGCAAACAGCCGGGTCACATCCGACAGAATTGCCCCATGGACAACAACACAAGGTCAAATTGGTCTCGACCTGGGTACCACCAACCACCAGCAGCAGCCCATTGTGTAGACTCGACTTGGGATCCCAAGGAGCTGAGTCAGGAAGATCCATTGGGCACCCTTTATGAAGCCCTCATGGTACAATCCACAATCACAGACAATCGGAAGCGCCATTGTCAACTGGTCATGGTTAACGGCAAGATAGCACGTGGATTAAGAGACAGTGGTGCGACCATCACGCTAGTGCAACGACATCTCAACGCATCGGAGAAGCCGAGGAAATCATTTGCTGTGAGAGTGGCAGGGGGGCAGTGTATCGCATTCCTACCGCACAAGTACACGTGGGCATAATGAAAGACTTACCCTCTGAAGTCGTGTTGGGCAATGTTATAAAAGACTGGAAATAACTATGTTACTGTTTGATAACCAATGGATACTGTTTGTCCCTGTACAAGTTTAAACCGAAAGAAGCACGAATGGATTACTCGAACCATTATAAAGACTCCATTCGTGGTACGAACAGGGGACCCCCCAGAGTTTGGCGTGTGCCGCCACTTAACCCTGTCACCCCGCAAACTACCGAACGGTCGACCACCCGGCCAGCGGCGTGTGGCAGCCATTAACCACCCAGGCGGCTGCGGTTTGCGGTTAACCACAACTTAATTGATAGGCCTGGGGGCATCGACGTTCGCATCGAAAGTACCGAACGGGATCTACCGAACTATCAAGCAAACGACGACCCCCTACAGCAGGCCGCGTGGCGATCATTAACTTGTGGTTTCTGCGGTTAACCGCAGGTCAAGTACCCTTCTACCAGGTGGTCCTCGTTCACGTACCGAACGAGTTCCACTACCAGACAGACAGCGGGACTTCGCATGAACTGATACCCGAGTTTAGTTCCATGAGTTAAAAGCAAGGTCCCGCTGCCCGCTAAACCATCAGAAAACATGGCCGCCAACAGAGACTCACAATCCAAAATGCCGAACGGACTTTATACGGCAGAAACCGTCCATTCTGTTTGTGGGATTGGAGCGCCATTCGCATGTTTAATGTATACGAACGCGAGCCTTTAGATGAGTGGTAGAATGATTGGTTTCCATGCATTAATGTAAAAGTTATAGATTTTTATGCAGTTTTCTGGGACATAATAAAACGTGGTCTTTTGTGCGCTTGGAGATAATTAGATTGTAAAACCGTTGGCCTCATTATCTCCAAGCTGGGCGGGTACTAATTCAAATAATACACTGGATTGTGATTGGGTATTTGTCTGTACTGTACCTGTATTCCATCAGGTCCACAGGGGGCTGTCCTTGGACCTGAGGAGTCACATAAATTGCCATGCTATGTGCCAGTAAAGCCAGTTCGTTTTGACCCTCAACTTGCAGCCTCGACTCATGTTGTAGGGATCCGGGATATTGATGCTCATATCGTGCTTGGGGATATTCTACATTTGCAGCTTACTACCGAAAGTCCTCCGTTCGACTCTCTGCAGCGGAAACCAGGACATCCAAGCGATCAACCCTCCTGCTAGACTGGGGGAAATCGTAACAGGCAATGACATTGGCCACCTGACTTCGGCGTTCGCCTCCACCACCGCTCAGGAGGCCCACGCAGTAACCACCAGAGCACAAAGTCACGCTGCCGAGAGCCATCCGCTTCCTACTGAGACCCAGGTTAGCCAACCCGACCTACCCCTGACTATAGAACCCCTACCCCCTCACCCCAGAAGACTTTGGGCGGGAGGTGACCGGAGACCCTTCCCTCAGAAAGTATCGAGAGAAAGCCAGGAGGGGAAAGGGGGGGGTTAGAGAAGGAGCAGTTTATCTGGGAAAAAGGCCGCTTGTACAGGCTCACTGAGACATGGGTTAACGCACCTGGGCCTAGGCAAAAATGCCAGCTGGTAGTTCCACGGAAATACCGGCGGGAGTTATTAAGAACTGGGCACGACGTTCCTCTGGCAGGACACTTGGGAATATGCAGGACGGGATATCGGGTAACCCAGAACTTTTTCTGGCCTGGGGTATCCGACGATGTCCGGGCGTATTGCCAGACGTGCGAGATATGTCAACGCATAGGTAAAAAGGGAGACCACCCAAAGACTAAACTGGTCTCCATGCCCATAATTGAAGAACCATTCACAAGGGTAGCCTTGGACATCATAGGACCCCTGGCCCAACCTAGCCATTCTGGCAAACGTTATATCCTCACGGTGGTAGATTACGCCACCCGTTACCCCGATGCTGTGGCCCTTTCTAACATACAGGCTGAGACGGTGGCAGATGCGCTAGTCAGGATATTCTCCCGAGTGGGCTTTCCCAAGGAGGTTCTGTCCGACCAAGGTAAGCAGTTCACAGCCGAGGTAACCCAGCAGATATGGAAAGTCTGTGGAGTTAAATACCTGACTAGTTCTCCATACCACCCCCAGACTAATGGCCTGTGCGAACGCTTCAACGGGATGCTAAAGCAAATGTTGAAGTCGTTCACGGGGGCGTACAAGGATTGGGAGCGATTCCTGCCACACCTTCTCTTTGCCTACCGAGAGGTGCCGCAGGAATCGACCGGATTCTCACCCTTCGAACTTCTCTATGGGAGGCGGGTGAGGGGGCCCTTAGATCTTATCAAGGATCACTGGGAGGGTCAGACAGAGATTGAGGGGACCCTGGTTGTACCTTATGTGCTGGAACTGCGGGACCGTATGGAGGAATTAGCCCAGGCGGTGCAGGAAAACCTCCAAGCTAGCTTGTCCACACAGACGCTTCAATGTTTGGACTGGGGGCAGTACTAAGCCAGATCGGAGAGGATGGAGGAGAGCACCCGGTGGCATACCTGAGTCGGAAGCTGTTGCCAAGGGAGGTCAGTTATGCCACTATTGAGAAAGAGTGTTTGGCCTTGGTATGGGCACTCAAAAAGCTCACACCTTACCTCTATGGCCGGGCCTTCACCCTCATCACCGATCACAATCCCCTGGTTTGGCTCAACCGGGTCTCAGGGGATAACGCCCATTTGCTGTGCTGGAGCCTGGCTTTACAACCCTATGACTTCACTATCCATTATCGCCAAGGCAAGCAAAACGGGAATGCTGATGGACTGTCACGCCAAACTGACTTGGCCTCAGATTAAAAACTTTGGAAAGTCCCGTCAACCCCACTGGACCAGGAAAGGTCCAGTCATGTCTGCCGGAGCAGGGAGTAAAAGGGGGGCAATTGTGAAGAATCCCCCTCCATTAATTTGGTACTTTCCCTCCCTGCTACTGTATTCATGGATTTATTACTGTGATGAAGTGCCCTTCGCCACTTGTGCCTGGAGAGGACTGCTTGCCCGCCTCTTGCCCTGTGACTATGGACCCTGGGAGATTTGGCCCGTTCAATTCAGTATGATAGTTATGTATTTTTGTATCCTTTTGTGTTTTACTGGGAACATGTGCTCAATGGAGTCTGCCTCTATCCCTGGATAATTGGATTATTTTCCCCATTGTCTCCAGGATAGAGGGCTCTGTAAAACCGGTTTGGGCCAGATAGCCATGCTGCCAGCCAGGCCCCAAAAGATACTTTACTAACGTCTGAACCCCTGATCTGATTCATGCCATTTTTTTATATGTTGTTTCTCTGAATGGATTGATTGTGAATATATAATTTTTATGTGAATGGGATGTGTATATTTTAGAAGTTATGAATATGCTGTAAAAACTGTATTTTTCCTACCTGCGATAATTGCATCTTCTATTGTATAAGATAATTGAATCACAGGCAGAGGGGAGGATTTTGTGTGGGCTGTAACCTCTGTTTTATTGGCTCCCCTGCATGGGAGCAGGGCATAAAAGAAACTGTAGCTTGAATACCTGTTGTTGTTACTTCCAGTAAAGTCTTGTTCCAGCATTAAGCATTGGCTCATGTGTGGATTATTGGGCGATTCCAGGGATATTTCTACTTGTGGAATATTGGGTGACTTTCTTTTATGGGAAGAAGGGAATGCTTGACGGTGATACCTTATACTACCGTCACAGTAATAAATGTGACTGTGTGTAATTTTATGTATTTTACTGAAAATGTGTGTAATGGAGTTTTGCCTCTGTCCTTGGCAGGGGTCAAGTCCTGGGGAAAAAAGTGTGGGAACTCTCCCAAAAAAACCCCAAAACACTTGTATGTATGTATATGTATGTATGTATGTATATATATATATATATATATATATATACACACACACGCGTGCACACACACATACACTCACACAGTGGTGTATTTTAATTTTATGCTGCCCTAGACATGACTATAGAGCACCCCCCTAATCTAAATTTACCACTCCTTCATGTCAAGGGCGCACCGCTTCTTGATTAAGAACCCACCCCTTCCTCTTTAGACTCCACCTTTTCCTGCTCCTTTTAAAGAAATACTATAGTGCCAGGAAAACAAAGTTGTTTTCCTGGCACTATAATTCCGTATAGTGCCCCCCTCCTCTCATGTCCTCCCCTCCCCCACTCGACACTGGAGGGGTTAAAATCCTATGGGTATTTAGCAGATGCTGGATGTCCTCATGCACAGGGTGAGGACGTCCAGCATCAGTTAGGTGACTTTTGGTCACCTAACCACCCGAAAGTCCCTCTAGTGGCTGTCTGATAGACAGCCACTAGACTTGGAGTTACCCCTCAGGTAATTATTGCAGTTTCTGAGAAGGTTTAAGGGGACTGGGACACTGCACCCAGACCACTTCAAGGAGCTGAAGTAGTCTGGGTGCCTATAGGGTCCCTTTAAGCACACTCTCTGACAGACACCCACACTGGCAGATACACACTGACAGTAACACACACATTCAATGACAAACACACAGACTTCACTGATTTGACACACACATTCACTGACACACACTCATTCATTGACAGAGAGACACACACTAATAGTCACACACACACTAAATGACAGACTCTCACTTATTTGACAGTAACTTACAATAACATATGCACATACATGCAATTGCAAACATACACATGCATACACTAACAGAAGCACATACACTCACATACACACGTACAAACGCTAACAGACATAAATACACTCCTACACACACTGAGACAAACAGACATCCACAGACAGACATCCACACATCCAGACATCCACACATCCAGACATCCACACATCCACATCCACACATCCACAAACAGACATCCACAAACAGACATCCACAGACATCCACAGACATCCACACATACACAGACATCCACACATCCACAAATAGACATCCACAAATAGACATCCACACATCCACAAACAGACATCCACAAACAGACATCCACACATCCACAAACAGACATCCACAAACAGACATCCACACATCCACAAATCCACATCCACAAACAGACATCCACATCCACAAACAGACATCCACAAACAGACATCCACAAATCCACAAACAGACATCCACATCCACAAACAGACATCCACACATCCACAAACAGACATCCACATATCCACACATCCACAAACAGACATCCACACATCCACTAACAGACATCCACACATCCACACACAGACATCCACACACAGACATCCACATCCACACATCCACACACATCCACAAATACAAATTAATAATAATATAAAAAAATTAACATTTCCCACCCACCCAGCATCCCTACCTTTCCCTGGGGTCCAGTGGGGCTGCAGTGAGGGCGGCTCTCTCCCTGTCACACGCGGAGAGGGAGCTGTGTGCTCTCTGCTCCCTCTCGCCGCGCGGGATGTCTGCTGATGCCGGGAGCCGGAATATGACGTCATCAACCCGGCTCCCAGTATCAGCAGACATCCCGCGCGGCGAGAGGGAGCAGAGAGCACACAGCTCCCTCTCCGCGTGTGACAGGAAGAGAGCCGTTCACCGGGGGGCAATCCATCAGGTTGCCCCCCCCCATGACAGGGGAAACAAGGGGGGGCATTTGGGGGCGGCATTTTTTGCCGCCCCCTGAGTGCCTGCAGGGGGAACGGCGTTCCTGCTGTGAAAAAAGTGCAGGAACGCCGTTCCCACGCTGTAGCGGAGATGCAATATTCCCCAGGTTATCTCCGCTTGTAATCCAAGTGAGGCTCAGGAACAAGTAAATAATAAATCCAAAGGCAAGGTTTCCAGCAAGTAAAACACAGCAATATCCCCACAGCAATCCCAATAACTGGACGACACACAGTTTCAGGAGAAGAACTGACAAGCCTTTAATCACAGTCTCCTTATAAAGCATGCTCCCATGCAAGGGAGGGATTTACAGTAATTATTACAGTAGCCAATCCTGTCCTGGTAACCTCCCACATATCTCCTCCCCTCAGCCAGCATCATAATCCCCTTATCCAGTACACCAATTCCCCCCGTTTCTGGATGTACCCCTAAACGTAGGGATACCTCTTTAAATCCTACATCCCCTGGTAGCCCTGATCTGGGTGAACAACATATCCAAAAATCACCCAGATCAGACCAGGGGTTCGGGAAAAGTATGGGGGGAATAAAATGACCGACCGCACGAACTGAGATAGCCGAATTCGGTTCCATGTGAATGGGCCCTGCGGTCGGTCCTGGCATAAGGGAATAAAATACACGAAAGCCTCTAGCTATAGAGGCTAGGGAGGGTTCGCCTGAATCCCCTCGTTCGGTATTCTCTATCTACCGAACGAGGGGCCGTTCGGTAGTTTGGAACCGAACGGACCAGGGCTGTGGAGGTCTCAGCGGTGTTCGCCTACTCGAGTGTCCGATTTTAGTTCCAGACACTCGACGGCAAAACACCGCTGTTCGGGAGTTTTAAAATGGCCGCCGCCACGTGTTCGTTTGTCGAATGGCGGCCACCCCCGAGAACAAAGGACGGCTACTTTACTGTTCAATTACCCGTTCGCAACAATGTTGCAACGGGTAATTGAGGACACACTTCACACAGGGGAGGTCTGGTTGTTCGGTAGTTTCATTCGAATAAACTAAGGGAATGAAACTACCGAACAATCAAAGAATACAAGGCTTTTAAAACACATAGAAAACTAGCAGATCACACGAATGCAATTATTTCAAAGACATTTGCAGGACAGCCCAGTGCCATCCGCTACACTGCTCCCCCTTGCCCACAAGCCGGCATACACAGTCTGATCCAACACGGATCGGCTTGGGGATGTCCGGGGACTCACGGATCATTTCTCCAGGTCAGTTTGTCTTGACAACCCGTCGGCATTCCCATTCTGTTTACCCGGGCGGTACTGAATATTAAAGTCAAAAGGCTGCAGCGCCAAACTCCAGCGCAGCAGCCTGGCATTGTCCCCAGCCACCCGGTTTAGCCATACCAACGGGTTGTGATCCGTGAGTAACGAAAAAGGCTGTCCATATAGATACGGCTGTAGTTTCTTTAAGGCCCACACCACAGCCAGGCATTCCTTCTCGATGGCGGCGTAGCTTACTTCTCTGGGTAACAGCTTGCGACTGATGTAAGCCACGGGGTGTTCTCCGCCATCGGCTCCGACTTGGCTCAGTACTGCTCCCAATCCAAACATAGAAGCGTCTGTGTGAACAAGAAAACGTTTAGTTGGATTGGGAGCTGCCAAGACAGGAGCATTTATCAGTGCATTTTTCAGATGTTGGAATGCCTGCTCACACTCCGGGGTCCAGGTCACCTGGCGGGGCAAATTCTTCCGAGTAAGGTCAGTGAGAGGTTTGGCGAGGGCGCTATAGTTAGGGACAAACTTTCTGTAATACCCAGCGGTCCCTAGAAAAGCTAATACCTGGGTTTTAGTCCTAGGAGTGGGCCACTGGGCCACGGCTTCTACCTTGGCTGGTTCGGGCTTCTGTTTGCCGCAACCCACTCTATGTCCGAGGTACTGCACCTCGGCCATCCCTATGCTGCACTTGGCCGGTTTCAATGTCAAACCAGCTTCCTTAATCCTGTCTAGAACCGCTCCTATATGGGCCAAGTGCTCCTGCCACGTATTGCTAAAAATGGCAATATCGTCCAGGTAGGCACAGGTGTAGTCTTGGAACCCATCCAGGAGTCGGTCTACCATCCGCTGGAAAGTAGCTGGGGCGTTTTTCATCCCAAA